TGTCGCGCCCTTCTATTTGGGGGCTGCATCAGTTTTTTTTTTTTTTTTTTTTTTTAGGCTAAAAATACTATTAGCAGGTACGAAGGCAGACATATTTGAAGTCCGCCCTGGACGATAATCATGGCTCCTTCCATAAATATATATATATACTTGTATTGTTGTTAAAAGTATATGTAATACTTAGCAAAAAACCCTTCTCATTTGCTCCCTTTGGTCTGCCAAATATACCATTAAAAGTGTTTAGTTTTATCTATTCACTAAGTGCAAAAATCCAGTGAGCTGATAACTTCCTTTTCTGTCTGCTTGTGTTGTACTCTTATCTGTTACATTGTCCTCAGGTCTCTTTGTGGACTACAGATCACCCCCCCTCATGTTGCGGAGAAGAGTGAAGGGTTATGTAGGCCTGCCATGTTTCTGTTGACATGATACAGTAGGGTAAGTGAGTGTTGTCACCATAGAGCAGGAACTTGTGCACGGTGCACTGCCACAACAGGACCTTACCAGTTCTCATCCGCTGTGTGAGATGAAGACCTACCACACTTTACTCCTGAATACCCAGCGCATCATACAGCCGGGCTATAAATTTAGAATTCCCAAACTGAGCAGCGATCCAGACTCCCGGGAGAATTCACACTAGCAGACGTGAGATTCCTGCTGATGCTCGTTTGTTTGTCTTGTGTCCCCCAGGAGATGGTACGCAGAGCAGGGAGGATTAATAGCATGTCTCCCATAGTAGTTTAATCCCACAGATATGGCTTCTTCTGTGTCATAGACTGGCCTTTAAGTTCTCCGATGAGCTCATCCAATTCAGACATCTTCCTGACTATACAATAGCTCTTTTTTCTGTACAGCCCATCTTTGGTTCTGTTCTGTGTACCTGCTATATAGCAGACTTTACCCCAAAGAGTGTGACGCTAACCATTTTCTTGGCATCCCCCCAACACCGATATGCTTACTATATCTGCACTGTGCTTCTTTTCAGTTGGCCTTTAGCTCTGCTGCATTGGCAACCTAGGGTAGCATTGATGTCACTCCCATAATCAAGCGTCTGCTATGCCAGGGACACAAAGGAACAGCCCTGGGACAAGGCCCTTTAGCAATCAAGGCAATGTGAACTACTTCAGGAGCATAGGATTCCAGTCCTGTCCTTTTTGCTTCCCGCTATTCTGCTAAAGCACCCAAGATAGCCGCCTTTTCTGCCTTCCTCTCGGTCCGGCCCTGCAGAGGAGCAGGTGACATGATTCTTCATCATCACAGTACTCTACAAAGCCTGTGCAGAGAGCAAAGCTGTAGGAGGGACTCAACAGGCCCCACCCAGTACAAGCTGCCTGCACAAAACTACAGGAGGGGGAGGGGACGAGACCAATCATCCTGCACAAGTAGGGAGAGCAGCAGTGACCGGTCTTTATTACAGGAGGGGGCGGAAATGAGACCAGTCACCCTGCACAAGAAGGGAGAGCAGCAGTGACCGGTCTTTATTACAGGAGGGGGCGGAAATGAGACCAGTCACCCTGCACAAGAAGGGAGAGCAGCAGTGACCGGTCTTTACTACAGAAGGGGGCGGAAATGAGACCAGTCACCCTGCACAAGAAGGGAGAGCAGCAGTGACCGGTCTTTACTACAGAAGGGGGCGGAAATGAGACCAGTCACCCTGCACAAGAAGGGAGAGCAGCAGTGACCAGTATTTTATTAGGAAGCTCCTACACCCAAACGTTATGCTGGACTAATGCACAGATCTGGAAGGGATAGGCAAATTAGTACCAAGATTCACGTAAGAATAGACATGGTTCTTGTATTTAGACAATATTTCCTGTTCCCGGAGTTCAGCCTTTTAAATAGCTCTCCAGTATAGGTTGAGTTAGCCGTACGAGTCCTTTTTAATGGTTCTAACAGACGGTGCAGACGAGGCACCCTCTGAAACGCTGGGAAGTGCTGAGGAGCTGCTGACCTGCTTCTGCCCATCATCACCCATGAGTTATTGTACAAGGAACGGCACAAATGTATCTCTTTCAGGGAGAGAGTCCAGGGACGTGGAGGGAGACTGACAGGCCAAGGTGTCGTCATTTTCCCTGCTACTCATAACAAAGCTCAAATGAACGGGGCTCCTGGCCGAGTCAATAGGTCATCTGCTGGGCTGGTTTTCAGGCCCCCTGTGGATTTCACGCTAAGCTCTAAGTGAAACACTTTAATTTGGACAGGCTGTGCCAGGCCTAATCGGTTTGTTCAGGAGGATATCCACCGTCTCTGTGTCTTCCTGGCCTGCTCCAGCCTCATTCATCAAAGCTCTGCTTTCCCCACGACAGCCAATTGAGTGCGTCCTTCCAACCTGGGGCCTGGGCTTAAAAGAATGATTAGAGGGCCCTGAATGGTCACCGTGGCTCAGCGCGTACACAGTTCCCATTCATCTTCTCTGAGAAAAGAAGGCCATTGTGTTTTGTCACTGGTAAAAAGCAATAATGGCATGTAATGATGATATGTACATCCTTTCCCACGTGCATCACATGACCGTGACGAATGGGTCAAACATTTGCCGGTATTATTAGGAGTTAGAGATATTAATGATCCATTGTCATCTTAAAGACATGCATTGCTTAAAATCAGGCCGCATTACAGCACGATGGGACCAATTACCAATTCGCTGTAAACACAGGGGGCCTGGTTGCATACTTTTGCTGAATCCAGCATGTATTTATTTTCCTGTTTAATAGAGGTTTTGATAAAGTAAGGAAGGTTTAATGTTCCCACATTATAGATTTAACCTAATTGTCCAGCTGACCAACGTTATTGGGATATCCAAAATGTTACTATAAATTGCAGGTAGTTGTATAGCGCTGATAATTTATGCCGCGCTTTACATTCTGTACATTACTATCAGTCCCTGTCCTCATGGAGCTTGCCTTCTAAGGTCCCTATCTCTTACACACACATACTAGGGCCAGCTTAGACAGGAGCCTATCCGGATTTGTTTGCAATATGGGAGGAAACCCACGCAAGTGCAGGCAGAACATGCAAGCGCCATGCAGATAGTGTCCTGGCTGGGTTTCAATAAGTGGGTAAATCTTGCTGCACTCCTTACCGGATCTGTAGCTATCCTGTGAATACAGGTGTGTGCTTGCAGTGAGCACACATGGCGCCATGCAAAATATACAATTATAAAGGTTGTCACCAGCTCACCGTTTCAAGTGATCAGCAGAAATCCTTTTTAATGAAAACTTACCTGTCAATTGCAAACGCTTTCGGGGCCTCACAGGGTCCCCTTCAGGCTCAGAATGGGAAACCCAATGCTGCAAGGCGGACGTGCTAGTCACTACACCACTACTGTCACCAGAACAAAATTTAAGGGGAATTCTTCCAATGGGGACACCTGTTCTGGTGACCGGCATCTAAGCAGATACATTTCCCTCGCTTTGTAGAGATTTCCTCTTCCTTGTTGCATCTGCTGGATTGGAAATTAAGTGAAATCTCTACAACGGGTCAAAGACCGGAAGAGAATAACTGAACGGGGCATAACACCCCTGGAGGATGGTGTACATTCACGTCACATGGTGTACGATCACGTCACATGGTGTACATTCACATCAGGGGTAGATTGTTCACACAATCTACCCCCAAAGTTATGATTTAAGCTAACCTCTTATATTTTCATTTATTTCTAAGCATAAGCTTAGCTGATTGAATGATCAGGTTGTAATGTGCATGGCCATGATGACATGAAATGAGTGACGTTGTTGTTTCCCAGGAACTTTAAAGTGACATTAAAGGCCCCATTCTGGTGTAAGGATTTAGCCTAAATGATGCCTCCTTATCCGATCATCATCTTCTTTCCTGTAGTTTTTAGTAGTTTCTCCAGCGCTGGTGCCGGTCTCCGATCCAGCGCTGACTCCTCTCTCTTCCTGGCACTTCCTGTCCCACGGAGTCTGTGCGGGTGCACTCTGCCTCCATAGACTTACCTTGCGTCTCTCCTCGTCTCCCGGCCGAAGATCTGAACTGCGAATGCGCTTGCCCCATGATCCTTTGCGGCCGCCCGAGAATCTTTAGATCTTTGGACGGGAGCTTGCGGCGGAGACACAGGTAAGTTTAAACCTCTTTGTTAACTTTATGTATTTATATATATTATATATATTTTTCAAAAGAAATTTCTGGCATATATCTACTGCTTGCTAGCCATAGATATATGCAAAAATACGCAAGGGTTTAATAATCCTTTAACGTTCAGTAAACGGGCTCCTAACTGTCAGTGTTCTGCATTACAGGAAACAGCAGAAATCGCAAGGAGCGAACAAGCCGGCCCAACACAACGAGCACCAACCAACTACTGCCAAACACAACAGCAGGGAGCACCAGAAGCAGTACCAAGGAAACCAGGCACCGCACTCCTCAGGCAAGCAGGGTCACCACGGTTACAGCCAAAACCGCCGATGGCACCACAACCAGAAGCACCCGCCAAACGACAAAGACTCCCAGAAATATGCCAAAGAGATGGACAGCCTGAAGATAGAGGACACTACAGTTTGCACAGTACACATCCCGCTGGAAGTACAGCGCAGCCCAGAGACTGCACAGGAACAGCCGCAGCAGAACAGCACGCCAGAGTCCGAGGCCAAAAGGAAAGACAGTATTCAGGGCAGAGAGCGCGACCGGCCTAAAGTGACTCTGCTCCAGTCCTCCAAAGACCGGCTGCGAAGACGGTTAAGAGAGGAGGTAAAGTCTTGCAGTGCCTGTATGTGGAGGTGCAGGAATTAGGGCTCATCTGAGGTCTGAAGGTGCAGGAATTGAGGCTGATCTGAGGGGTGAAGGTGCAGGAATTGGGGCTGATCTGAGGTGTGAAGGTGCAGGGATTGGGGCTGATCTAAGGTGTGAGGGTTCAGGAATTGGGGCTGATCTGAGGGGTGAAGGTGCAGGAATTGAGGCTGATCTGAGGGGTGAAGGTGCAGGAATTGGGGTAATCTGAGGTGTGAAGGTTCAGGAATTGGGGTGATCTGAGGTGTGAAGGTGCAGGAATTGGGGTGATCTGAGGTGTGAAGGTGCAGGAATTGGGGTGATCTGAGGTGTGAAGGTGCAGGAATTGGGGGTGATCTGAGGTGTGAAGGTGCCTACTAATAATTTGTCTACAGCACACTATTGTTCACTGGTACACGCCGCTTATCTAATGTCTGTAGATTGACATGTAGAACGATTGCTGATCCGTGATATAACACGCTGTAACAGAGATATAACAAGCCCTCGCTGACCTCTGAAGACACTGTGAACAAAAATGATCTTCAACAGTCACAACAAAGGCTTTGAAATCCCAGCTACTCTCACCTTACTGTCTATGGCAGTGGGGACTTGGCAGCCTCCCGGCCTTCTAACATAAACCAACTGCAGGTGCTTTTAAGATGTCAGAAGCCAACTTTTACCTAACATCAGAGATTAAAAAATGGGGGGTGTTCTGTAGTCTTATAGGGAGGAACTAGACATGGCTGATGACACTGATTGGGGTTTCAGTGAAGCAGAGGCAATGTGTTGTCACTTCACTGCATTTCTAGAGAGATCAACAGGTATTTTTTATGTCCTTGCTTTGTTTTTAGAAAGACCCGGTCACTTTGCTCTGCATGGGGAATGTGACAGTGTCACTTTAACAAGATATAACATAGTGCACGGTGCATGGGGAATGTGACAGTGTCACTTTAACAAGATATAACATAGTGAACGGTGCATGCATTGCGGAGACTTCTTATTTTCTCTGTTGCCCCGGCACATTCCCTATTAATGAATTATTCGCAGTGATGGGCTTATTTAGAGCAAGCCGGGGCCATGTGATGTTATGCGCGGGTATCTCGCAGAAAGCAGTCACCGCCTATTATGTCTATAATCTTATTTGGGTTCTTATGAAAAGTTGCCAGCAATTACCTATAATCAGATCTGGGAGCCGAGGACGGCGAACATTTCAGCCGCGTAGCTGGCAGATGTGCCGCTGAGAAGTCTCAGATGTTTTAATTTGCAGCTCCTGGTTTAATAATCATGGCTGCCTTTTCCCATTAGGCCTTCACTTTGAGAGACTCGCAGGACTAAGGAGGCTGAGGAGCCTCTCGCCTAGAAAAGTGGAAGGCACGCAGTGACCCACTGAACACGGGGTCGCAGCCCACTTTTGGGTCACGACCCACCAGTTGAGAACCAAGGCTCTGGATCATCCGTTACCAACCAAAGTTCTGTGGAACAATTGGGTTCCTCGGAGGTTGCTAGGACTTCCTTTGGCATTGCCAGATCCATTTCCTGCATGATGGAGCTTGTATACTGTAGTTCTAGGACTCAACAGGGCCAGTGGTATGGGACCAGTGGAGCCTCTCTTCCCAAATCTGACACCAGTAATCTGTAAGGGGTATTGTTGCCACTGGCCCCCACTGAATTGGGGAAATTGTCTCCATTGAACGTAGGAAGATGTCACCAGCACACCCAAAAAAATCATTTCAGGATCACAAAGTTTTCATTTATTGAAGATTCTTGTAATACAAACGTGCGCTTTCGGGGCCGCACAGGGTCCCTTCATCAGGGTTAGCATTGAGATTTTTCCCATTGACCCCCCTAGTATAAGGAGTCACCTCTCCCTCTGACCACCAACCACATCAAGGGCGCCCTTCTCCAATGCTGCTTCCTGCCCTCACACTGCAGTGCTCTATGCTGGTAGAGTTGAATAATAACCATCAATAGGGGTTGAAAACGAAGGCCACCATTGATTTATATGTCTGGGTCTAGTTCAAGGAATGTACATAATAAGGATAGTGATGGCACAAGCATACAGTATGCCCAATATTATTATTGGATAATGCTCAGGGCCGGATTTCCCACAAGGCCAACCAAGCCCCGGCCTCCGGGCAGCAGGGTGTAGAAGGGGTAGCAGGGGTATGGAATTCCTATCTCCCGACGCCCAGTATATGCAGTTCTGGGCGCCGGGCGGGTAGTTTTCTACATTTAGCCCTGCTTTGGGCAAGCAGAGCTAAATGTACACCGTGGAAGCCGCCGCTTGTTTTGTACAAGTGATCCCGGCGATGTCACCGGGATCACTTGTATGCAGCCTGTATACAGGGGGGCGCATTGAGGAACCTGGCATTGGGGCAGCATGGGGAGTAAATCCGGCCCTGATACCCACACCCCTCACCCAAGCAGTGCAGAGTAGTGATGAGCTGGGGCTTCGTGTTCACCCAAGCCAGCTCAGTATTGTTTCT